CCACACTGTCTTCCACAATGGTTGAACTAATTTACACTCCCACCAATAGTGTAAAAGCACTATCTCTCCACATCTCCAGCATCTCTTGTTTCCTGACTTTTTAATGATCACCATTCTAACTGGCGTGAGATAGTATCTCACTGTGGATTTGATTTGCATTTCTCTAGTGACCAGTGATGATGAGCTTTTTTTCATATGTTTGTTGGCCTCATAAATGTCTTCTTTTGAGAAGTTTCTGTTCATATCCTTTGCCCACTTTTTGATGGGGTTGTGGTTGTTTTTTTCTGGTAAATTTGTTTAAGTTCCTTGTAGATTCTGGATATTAGCCCTTTGTCAGACGGATAGATTGCCAAAATTTTCTCCCATTCTGTAGGTTGCCTGTTCAATCTGATGATAGTTTCTTTTGCGGTGCAGAAGCTCCTTAGTTTAATTAGATCCCATTTGTTAATTTTGGCTTTTGTTGCCATTGCTTTTGGTGTTTTAGTCATAAAGTATTTGTCCATGCCTATGTCCTTAATGGTATTGTCTAGGATTTCTTCTAGGATTTTTATGGTTTTAGGTCTTACGTTTAAATCTTTAATTTATCTTGAGTTAATTTTTGTATAAGGCATAAGGAAGGAGTCCAGTTTCAGTTTTCTGTGTATGGCTAGCCAGTTTTCCCAACACCATTTGAATATGAAATCCTTTCCCCATTTCTTGTTTTTGTCAGATTTGCCAAATATCAGATGGTTGTAAATGGGTGGCATTATTTCTGAGGCCTCTGTTCTCTTCCATTGGTCTATATATCTGTTTTGGTACCAGTACCATGCTGTTTTGGTTACTGTAGCCTTGTAGTATAGTTTGAAGTCAGGTAGTATGATGCCTCCAACTTTGTTCTTTTTGCTTAGGATTATCTTGGTTATACAAGCTCTTTTTTTAATTATTCTATATGAAATTTAAAGTAGTTTTTTCTAATTCTGTGAAGAAAGTCAATAGTAACTTGATGGAGATAGCATTGAATCTATAAATTACTTTGGGCAGTATGGCCATTTTCACGATATTGATTCTTCCTATCCATGAGCATGGAATATTTTTCCATTTGTTTGTGTCCTCTCTTACTTCCCTGAGCAGTGGTTTGTAGTTCTCCCTGAAGAGTTCCTTCAAATCCCTTGTAAATTGTATTCCTAGGTATTTTATTCTCTTTGTAGCCATTGTGAATGGGAGTTCACTCATGATTTAGCTCTTTGTCTATTATTGGTGTATAGGAATGGTTGTGATTTGTGAACATTGATTTTCTATCCTGAGACTTTGCTGAAGTCACTTATCAGCTTAAGGAGATTTTGGGCTGAGACAATGAGGTTTTCTAAATATGGAATCATGTCATCTGCAAACAGAGACAATTTGACTTCCTCTCTTTCTATTTTATACCTTTATTTCTTTCTCTTGCCTGATAGCCCTGGCAAGAACTTCCAATACTATGTTGAGTAGGAGTGAACTCAGGATTAAGAAACTCACTCAAAACTGCACAACTACATGGAAACTGAACCACGTGCTCCTGAATGACTACTGGGTAAATAACGAAATTAAGGCAGAAGTGAATAAGTTCTTTGAAACCAATGAAAACAAGGACACAATGTACCAGAATCTCTGGGTCACAGCTAAAGCAGCATTTAGAGGGAAATTTATAGCACTAAATGCCCACAGGAGAAAGTGGGAAAGATCTAAAATTGACACCCTAACATCACAATTAAAGGAACTAGAGAAGCAAGAGCAAACACATTCAAAAGCTAGCCGAAGGCAAGAAATAACTAAGATCTGAGCAGAAGTGAAGGAGATAGAGACACAAAAAATCAGTGACTCCAGGAGCTGTTTTTTGTTTTTTTTTTTTTGGAATAGAAACATTTATTAATAATTTGCAACATACTATATCTTAAAATTTTCCACTTTTAAAAATATTATCACTTTTACACTCAATTCTAGGGTACGTAAAATTCATACATATAAATTATAAATAAACACCCAAATATAGTGTCAAAAGTCATCACATTCATATATAAAAAAAAATAATTTTCTAAGTGGTCTCAGCAAAGAAAAGAATAACTAGGTTTAAATATTTTAATAATGTGAATTATTTTAAAATATTTTTAAGTCAGCAGAGTGCCTGGGCTGGCCATGATGCCTCACGCCTGTAATCCCAGAACTTTGGGAGGCTGAGGCAGGCAGATCACTTAAAGTCAGGAATTCAAGATCAGCCTGGCCAAATGGCATAACATCATCTCTACTAAAAATACAGAAATTAGCCAGGCGTGGTGGCGCACACCTATAGTCCCAGTTACTCAGGAAGCTGAGGTGGGAGGATCGCTTAAGCCCAGGTCGAGGCTGCAGTGAGCCCAAATCATGCTGCTGGACTTCAGCCTGGGTGACACAGTAAGACCCTGTGTCAAAAAAAAAAAAAAAAAGGGGAAACCACAAATAACTGGAGGTTTTAGATTGTTGATTGCATTTAAAAACCATTTCACACTAGGTGACAATATTCCATATATATACAGAAGACTAAAACCATATTAACAGGCCTAGCAGTTCTACTCAAGAGGAATAAAACCACACAAAAACTTGTTCATATATGTTCATAGCAGCATTATTCAGAATAGACAAAAAATAGAAACAACCCAAATGCCCATCAACTGATGAGTGGGCAAACTAGCCTATCCACAGGGTGGAATATTATTTATCAGTAAAGAGAAAGGAAAGTACCACAAAAGCTGCAACATAAACAAACCTTAAAAACGTTATCCTCAGTGAAAAAAGCCAGTCATAAAGCACTATAAACTGTAGGATTCTATTTATATGAAATACTCAGAATGGCAAATCTACAGAAACAGAAAGTAGACCCGAGGTT